GGATTGGGGATCTGAGGGCAGAAAATAGTGGAACTAAAGCAGAATAATCAGGAATTGCCTATATCTGAGAATCTTTCTATCTTTTGGCATCACCTGTTTCTCAAAAGAAAGGTGACAACAGGGTCTGCACTCAACATGTGTATAAATAAGTACAAGCATTCAATTGTTTCTACGCTGAAGCAGGGTCAAATATTAAATTGTGGTTTTTGGTTCAAATTGTATGGCAACTGCTGTACCTTTACGGAGTTTACATACTCTTTGGAGGAACTTAGATATATGCCTGCGGCTGATGTTTCAGTATCTGGTTAAATACATAAGCATCATATTTACTCATTGGACCTTTATTTTCTGTAAGATTATTTTAATTAAGTGGATTTCACTCTATGCTCTTATTATGGAGACAGTGCCGTTTGTAAGTATATTGTTCCTTGTCAAAATTATACTTGGATCAAAGTCTTACTAGAGGTTTTTGTTGAAAGGTAATGCTGGAATCAGGAAAATACGATCTTGTTCATGAGTTCTTTAGGAAAATGAAAAGAGCTGGAGAAGCTCCCAAAGCACTCACATACAAAGGTAGCTTCATTTTTCCTTTCCAGTGGTGTTCATGCATGTGACTCATTCTTGTTTGTTGTGAACTTTCCAGTTCTTGTCAGAGCTTTTTGGAAGGAAGGCAAAATTAATGAAGCTGTGGAAACAATTAGGGACATGGAACGAAGGGGAGTAATTGGAACAGCTAGTGTATACTATGAACTAGCTTGCTGTCTTTGCAACAGTGGGAGATGGCGAGATGCTATGGTAGAGGTAAGTTTCTTTTCCTCTGGTTACATGTTTGCATTTTTGCTGATCTTGAGAAAGCACAAATGAAATGCTGTGACAATGATTGGAAAGCATATTTACATTCACTAGTTACATTATTATTTATTTTTGACCTACTCTTAATGCTGCAGGCTTTATATTCACCTTTTAGTCGTTTCTAATATGGATTCAATGTGGAAGATTTAATGGTGTAATCAAATATGCCTGCAGGTGGATAAGATAAAAAAACTTCCTCACGGTAAACCTTTGGAGGTTACATTCACTGGTCTCATAAGTTCTTCCATGGATGGTGGGCATGTCGATGAT